CCTTAATCTTCGTGCCCTGTCTGAGTCTGCTTGGGATTCGGTGTCTGGCCTACCTTGATGACTGGCTGGTGTGGGCTCCCAGTCGGTCCGCTTGTCTGCTCACCAGGGGTGTGGTTCTTTCCAGATCGCCGGGTTTGATTTCCTGGTGATCTGGAGGCCATTCCATCTGTTTCCTTCCCGGGTTCGAACCTGGCTGGGTCTTGTTTGGGGCTCTTGAGCCGCTCCTTGTCTTTCCCTCCAGAAATGTTGCTGCGGCTGTGGTCCCGCCTTCGGCAGTTCATGAGGCGGTCCCGGGTTGTTCGAGCAGTTGTGCGGGAGTCTGAACATCGACGTGCTCGTCTGCCCGCAAGGTCGAGTTTGGCTTCGGCATCTGTTTGGTTCCTTCGGAGACTCCCCTTCCGCCTTTATTGCAATCGTTGGGTTCGTTCCTCCGGGGATCTTGTGTTGGTGCTGCGTCACCAGCTTCCTCTTTGGGGTTTTCGGGGTTCCATGCCTTGGCACCTCCCTGAGCCTTCGCTCGATGTGTTCACGGACGGGTCATCTCTTGGCTGGGGCTTTGTGACCAGTGCTCACCAGGTCGGCTAGGGATAGTGGGGTCTGTTCGTCCGTAGGGCTCACAGCACGGTTCAGGAGTTCGTGGCTGTCTGTTTTGCGCTTTGGAGGGTTCGGGTCACTCGGTGCTCTACCACTCGACTCCATTCGGACTGTTCTCTGGCAGTTCTTTGCCAGAACCACAGGGTTTCTCTTGGGAGTTAGACCTTTGGGGTTGGTCCCTTGGAGTGGCTCGTTTGCTGGATTCCTCGGGGTTTGGCTAACAGTGAGGTTCATGTCCGGGGTGTGTCCTACGTCCTGGCGGACAGCCTGTCTCGGTTCATTCCTCTGTTTGCGGATTGGCCAGTCATCGCTGACTAGTTTCGTTGGCTCTGCCAGACATATGGACTCCTGGCCATGGACGTCTTCGAGTCGGCGTGATCTAGGCGTCGCCCATTCTATGTGGCGCCTTTACCCGCCTGCGAGGCGTTCACGATGGATGCCTTTCGGCAGGACTGGTCGAGGTGGGGGTACCTGTTCCTCTTCTTCCGGTCCAGCTGTTGCTTCGGGTTCTGGCTCGGTTGGAGCCCATTCCCAACACAGTAGTCCTTATGGTCCCTTGGTGGCTGGCCCAGCTTTATTTTCAGACTGCTTGATAGGTGTCCGAACCCGGGGCGTTTTCCCGCGGCTCCGCCTCTTTCGGCAGGTCGGACCGGTCCTGTACAAGACTGGTTCGGCTTTCTCCTCGGCTCTTCGCGTCAGGTATTTTGACGCAGGTATCACCATCTCTGGTGATCAGGTGGCTTTGTTGGTGTCCCACCTGCGAGCTTCGTCTCGGCGACATTATGACGTTCCTGGTATTTCTATGCACCTTTTTCTTGCTCTTCGTAGGTTGTCTTCTCTTTCGCATCGGGTTGTCTTGTCCTTTCTTGGGTTTTCGGGACTACAGTTATTTGATGTTTCTTACTGTCGCCTCGTTTTGTGCGGCGCTGGCGGAGCCGCTCCTGCTTGCATTCGAGGGTGGACGTCACATCTGCCCCATTCCGTACGCTTTCTCGTGTTTTGTTTCACCTCCAGCCTGCTCATGCGTCGCCTGAGCCGTCCTGGTCCTTGATCAGGGTGCCTTCTTATCTTCTCCTCAGTTTGTGGTACCCCTTCGGTTCAGGTTTCTGCTCTTTGGTACTGGTGGTAGGTTTGTACGTTTGCAGCCTTTCTCTGTCCTGGCGACGGTCGAGACGGCTGCTTTCCGGAGGGGTCCATGGGTTATTGATGCTTGATTGGTTCTCCTGGGGGGTGCGTCCTGCATTGTCCGGTTTGGCTTTTTTGCTGTTACTTGCGTACCGTGTCTGGGGATGCGCTTTGGGTTGATCCGGTTCCCGTCGTTCGCCGTTTCAGTTCTCGGGTCTCCCAGGTCGTCCGCAGAGTTTTTAAGTCTTCCAACCTGCGGTCTGTCCTTGCTCCCGTGCTGTTCTGACGTTTGCAGCTTTCGCTGTTCTGTTGGCGACGTCTAGGGCTCATTTCAGGCGCAAGGATTTGAGGGTCGCTCAGGTTCTTGGCCGCCCATTTTTTATGCTCGTGTCTGCTCCTGTGCGTTCTTGTTGCCTTGGGTCACAGGTTGCAGCCTATTGTCTTGGCTTCTCGTTGCGGAGTTTGTGGCGGCTGCCTCCCGGGTCAGCCCTTTCGTTTCCTTCTCTTTGGGTATGAAGCTCCAGGGAGCCGTAGGGGCTCCCCACAGAAAACCACCGTTGAATGCAATGAAATGCCATTTTCTGGGCGAGCCTCGGAGGCTCCCTGGCAACCCTCCCTCTCACCGGTCGGCAGTTTTTTCGCGTTGGTTGAAGCTTAGCTTCTGAACTGATGCTAGGCAGCCGGCGCGGTGAGGTCCAGGGCTCCCCCTCTCCCTTTCGGGGCGGGGAGGGCTGCGCGGACAATCGGCGCAGCAGTAAAGTTTGATGTTTGCTTGTTTCCTTGGGATTGTAGGGAGTTTCTACCTCTCTGTTCGTTTTTTTGTTTGTTTTTTACCATGTGGGGTTTGTTTTGTTATGCCTACCTTTCTGGGTGCCTAACCCTGGTCGATGGTAGATAAGGAAAACCCCAACCACAAAGGGGTTTTCCAGGGCCATTGCTCCCTGAAACCTCTCTGAAGGGGCCAGGTTCTGGCGCTGGTCCCTGGTAAGTCTGAACTCCTTAGCTATGTCCCGGTCTAATATAACATACATTAGCCCAATAAGCTCCAGGGAGCCTCCCGGGCTCGCCCGGAAAATGGCCTTTCATTACATTCAGCGCTGGCTTTTTCATGATTTTCTATATCACCTTACATGGTATACAAGTTAAGGATACCAACCTGTAGTTTAGGGCCTCCTGCCTATCTCCCATTTTGTATATTGGGGACTACGTTAGCTGTCTTCCAACTTTCTGGGAGGCCTGTTTCCAGTGACTTGTTATACACAATAGAGAGTGACATGCAAAGTGCTTCTTCCCTCTCTTTTAGCATGTATGGTGAGATTCCATCAGGTCCAACAGCCTTAGTCACATTTAGATCTAGCATATACCTCCTAATCTCATCTCTGGTAATTTCAATATCTTCCAAGGCTGCTTGGTTTGTCACCACTTAGTTCAGGGACTTCTTGCTCTATTGTGAAGATCTGGAATCTCTTGTGGAATTCTTCACACACCTCTTTATCATTCTTTGTGGACCCATCCTCTCCTTTTCTCAGTTTCACCACCTGTTCTTTCACTCCTGATGTGGCTGTATAGCAGTTTTAGTTGGGTCTTGGCTTTATTTGTTGTAATTTTCCAACTGCCTCTCTACTTCGCTTCTCACACTGAGGTACTCATTTCTGGCCCTCTGGTATCTCTGCTCTCTGGTATTCTGTTATTTCTGTAGTTTCTCTATGCCCTTGTGCTTAGCTGCCTTGCTTCATTGCATGCCTGATTGACGACGAATTCCCCTTTTGCTCTTCGTTTTTTCTTTTTGAACCCGGATAAACCTGTTTTCTGCCTCCTGACACTTCTGTATGATGTAGTCCATCATGTCTTGTGCAAACTTTTCTCTGAGCTCCGTTTCCCATGGACAAACTATTACCTGCAATGCATCTAGTTACCAATTAGAAGTTTTCTTATCTTATCATAGTTTTCCCTTTGGTGTGCCAACCTTTTGCTTTTCAGGTCTTTTCTTTGGGTAGGTTATTCCTTCTTCCACAAGATATTCAAATATTAGTACACTGCCCGAGCACAGAACCTGGAGCCCATACCTAGTTAAACACAAGACAAAATTAGAGAAGATTCAGAGGTATTCCACCAGAATAGTCCCAGAACTGAGAAGTATGAGCTATGAGAAAAGGCTATGGGAGCTAAACATCACGTCCCTGGAAGACAGAAGAGTAAGGGGGAGACATGATAACCACCTACAAAATTCTCAGGGGAATTGACAGGGTGGACAAAGACAAATTATTTATCATGGGTGGAACACGAACAAGGGGACACAGGTGGAAACTTAGTACCCAAATGAGCCACAAACATTAGAAAATAATTTTTCAGTGTCAGAGTAGTTAAGAAATGGAATGCATGAGGCAGTGATGTGGTGGAGGCTGACTCATACACAGTTTCAAATGTAGACATAATAGAGCCCAGTACGTTTAAGAATCTGTACACTAGATGATTGATGGTTGAGAGGCGGGACCAAAGTGCCAAAGCTCGACCCCGGCAAGAACAACTAGGTGAGTACACTGGTCAATCAATCCTCTGGGGGGTCTGATTTGACTTCTCTTATGTCTGACTCGTTCAGGGTAAATATCAGATAAAGTCTGACTAGTTCATCATTTTCTCTTTCTTGTGAGCCCCTTGAAATGTTGGCTTAAAAAGTTTCTCGTCGCCACATCAAATATTTTAGCTCCCCATGGTACTGTATGTATAAACTGGCTTCCTGTCCCCCGACAAAATGAATTATTAATTAATTATTATTCTCTCTTAGAAAGCTTCTATATGTTCCACTCAGGATTTATATCACCTGCCAGGTTCAGATTATTTTTATGCCTATTGTAACAGAGACCTCTGTAAGTGGTCCAATCATGTATCTAGGGAAGGAAGACAGTGTCAAGTGTAACTAAAGTCACCAGTTCACTATAGAGAAATACAAAAGCTTTAATCTCAAGTCTCAAACACCATATTGAAAATCAAAATACAATACTGTACCAAGACTTGCAGTTACCATTCTGAAAGTACCATTAGTAGGTCAATGGCTACACTGACCACTACCAGGAGTCACTGGAACAGGCCTGGAGAAGCCAACTCTCCTCACTTTTAGTTGGTCTTATAATTGCTTTGTAAAATATAGGTGCTGAGTACAAAGCTTTTCTTTAGTTTTCATTGTTACACAGTGGAGAAAATGGTTTTGTAATTCTAGATAATTTTTTATTAACCTTAAAATCAGTTTAGTTACCTTTTATTATTTGTTTATTCACATGCAGGTATTAAAAAGATTGTATATGATGAGGATAGTTCATCTGATGAGGAAAATGAAGAAGATAGTAACTATTCTTTAAGTGAATCGGACGATGAAAGTAAGGAGAACTTTGATCTCTCTGAAAATTTGGTCATGACCCCAAGGAAAACCCCCCGAAAACTTAAGATGGTATTATCCGGTACCCCAGGAAAAACTCCCTCTAAAACCCCAGGAAAGCGTGGAAGACTTAAGAAAATTAAAGATGTGGAAATGGTAAGTTTTTCTATTTTTTTCCTACTGAATATGAAGGTTATCACCACATCCACCATTGTCACTGTCCTGCCTTGTACTTTTGTTGGACAAGGGGACAATGTCAGCTCAGAAGTATTAGGAGAGCGAGAGTTTAGATTAAAAGATATTCTAAAGACACTTCATTCATTCACAATATATTTCATATTCCATACTGCATCATTGTGTAAACCATCACCATCACACTCCATTCAGTTTGCAAGTAGATCTGTTTGCCTTGATGTGGATTGCTACATGTCAATCTATGTAACAAAATTTTTCAGTTGAGCTTTTCTTTAGGTGAGCCCCTTGTGGCTCCCTGAAGCTACGTTACTGATACCGTGCCAAACTGCTAGGTGCCATCAGTTGCGAAGTTCTATTAGGCCTACCGGGGACCACGAGCAAGAACCTGGCCCCCCTCTAAAGATATGCTGAGAGCAATGGTACTATGATCAAATTGTCAGTGAAAAATTGATCAGTGATCAAATTGTTAATCATTCCACCACCACCGGAAAAGCGCCCACGAAGTCAGCGAGACAAAACAGATCACTGCTGGTTATAAGGAAATATTGATGCCTCAAACTCATTAAAAGAACTCCCCAAACAATGTAAAGAAACAATTGAAAATTTATGAAACTACTGTACTGCAAGCTCATTAACTCTACCTTCCTCCCTCATATGGAGGAAGGCAAACCAGGTCAGGCGGCTGCTCCACCCTCAGTTCATGCTGAAGGTAGACAGTGTGAGGTGCCCACTCTCTCACTCTAGCTCCTATGCTTCAGCTGGTTTTTCACTTTGTGGTTGTTCCAACACACGTCTGTGCTGTGTGTACCAGGATTATAAAGCGCATGGAGCTGCATGTGTACAGGGTGCTCTTTCCTGGAATGTACGGGATTTGCTTCTTTAGTGGGCTTCCTCGCTTGTGGTGGTCCTCACCATGGGTACCTTGCAATGATTTCGGGGGCTCAACGTTCCCACAGCCCGGTCCTCGACCAGTTCTCTTCGTTGCTGAACTGGTCAACCAGGCTATTGGATGTGGCTGCTCGCAGCCTGATGTATGAATCACAGCCTGGTTGATCAGGTAGCCTTTGGAGGTGTTTATCAAGTTCTCTCTTGATCACTGTGAGGGGTTGGCCAGTTATGTCCCTTATGTGTAGTGGAAGCGTGTTGAACAGTCTCGGGCCTCTGATGTTGATAGTTCTCTCTTGAACACTGTGAGGGGTCGGCCAGTTATGTCCCTTATGTGTAGTGGAAGCGTGTTGAACAGTCTCGGGCCTCTGATGTTGATAGTTCTCTCTTGAACACTGTGAGGGGTCGGCCAGTTATGTCCCTTATGTGTAGTGGAAGCGTGTTGAACAGTCTCGGGCCTCTGATGTTGATAGTTCTCTTGAACACTTGTGAGGGGTCGGCCAGTTATATGTACTTATATCGCACATCATAAAAATCTCAGAGAGTGCTAAGAAGTAAGATCACAAAATACAGTGGTACCTCGGAATACGAGTTTTTCGGAATACGAGCAGTATTTGCTCAGAAAATGTGCCTCGGAAGGCGAGGGTTACCTCGGAAGGCGAATTCGTTGATACACGTACAGGCCGACCTAGCGCGTGGTGGTACGGCGATCGTTGCCCCTCACCCCTCAGTTTACCAGTGCCTTGCGCCCAGTGACTATCCCACGTCAATTCTTCACGCGGATTTTCAGTGTTTTGTTGGATTTTTGGTTATTTGACCATAAAAGTTGTTATATATCTCCCCATGGGTCCCAAGAAAGCCAGTAGTAAGGTTTAACCTAAGAAAATAGTGCGGCGTTTCGGGTGATCGAGTGGCAACACTGAAAAGTGTATACTCTTTTTAACTGGCCTGACATTAATTTTCGATTTACGTATTTCATTTTTATACCAATGTGTTCGCAATAGAATGTTCTAGAAAAACATAAGTATAAAATGTCACACAAGGATGCGTTAGACTGGCACCAAATAAAAAACTACGTCGATTACACTTGTCGTGTCAACAATACAATGGTCTTACCTCAATGGTGCAATGCTATGCCGTTCTCCCAAATAGACTATGCGGCTATTAGAGAAAATGGAAATTTCATGGCGGACATTTTCAAACTACGTATCCCAAGACGATCGTATAACAAATAGTTTATAGAAATATTTTTTCTCGTGACTCGTGAGCAGGTCCGCTGTGCAACCTCAACACAAATAGTAGTAACGCTTTCGAGCGCCATGATAATGCTAAAGTGTTAAGAAAATGTGTGAAGTATGGGAAGAATTGCAAAGTTTTGTTGAAAAAACTCACCCAGATAAATCTTTAGCAGGCCATTGCATTGACCTTTTAAATGACAATGTGATGTCTTACTACAGACAAGTGTTAAAATGTAGGGAAAAACAAGTGTCTTTAGACAGATTCTTAGTAAGATAAGCAAGTCCTAGTAGTATGCAGGCAAAATGTGCCAGAGTGTGCATACCAGTGAAGTCCTCACTGCCTGATGTTATAATGGAAGGGGACTCCCCTTCCAAACAGTAACACCTGTTCTCCTCCCTCCCTCCACACCATCTTCCATACGCCAACAGCAAGGTAAGTAATAACTTGAACATAGTTTTGTAGGTTTATTTAGATGAATTCTGTATAAAATTTAGTTTGAAGTGGGATTTTTGGGGTAGTCAGGAATGGATTAATTCATTTCCCATTATTTCTTATGGGGAAATGAGCTTTGGAATACGAGTTTTCGGAATACGAGCTGTCTCCAGGAACAGATTAAATTCTTAAACCGAGGTACCACTGTACATGGAATCACAGCATCTCCATAACCCCGGACAACATGGTTTCAGAACAGGGCGCTCTTGCCTATCACAGTTGCTGGACCACTATGACATGGCACTAGATACCATGCAAGACAAACAAAATGCTGATGTAATTTACACAGATCTTGCAAAAGCCTTTAACAAATGTGAACATGGTGTTGTTGCGCATAAAATGCATTCAAAAGGAATTACCGGAAAAATAGGCAGATGGATCTACAATTTCCTGACTAACAGAACCCAATGTGTAATAGTCAACAAAATAAAATCCGGACCATCAACCATAAAGAGCTCAGTCCCCCAGGGTACTGAGCTTGCTCCAGTACTTTTCCTCATCCTCATATCGGACATAAACAAGGACACAACCTATAGTACTGTATCATCCTTTGCAGATGACACTACGATTTTTTTGAGAGTAGACAACATAGAGGATACGGCAAACCTCCAATCAGATGTCAATCAGGTCTTCCTATGAGCTACAGAAAATAATATGGTGTTTAACGAAGATAAGTTTCAGCTCATGCGCTACGGAAAAAATGAAAATATAAAAACGGAAACCACGTACAAAACTCGGTCAAATCATAATATAGAACGGAAAGACCATGTAAAGAATTTGGGTGTAGTGATGTCTGAAGACCTTACCTTTAAAGAACACAATAAAGTAGCTGTTACAACTGCAAGAAAAATGACAGGTTGGATAACAAGAACCTTTCACACTAGATGCTATACAGATGATACTTTTCAAGACGCTAGTGCTCTTAGAGTGGAATACTGTTGCACAATGACAGCCCCTTTCAAAGCTGGAGAAATTGCTGACCTGGAGAGCGTACAGAGATCCTTTACTGCTAGAATCCAATCAGTAAAACATCTAAACTATTGGGACCGACTAAAGAGCCTAAATCTGTATTCTCTTGAGGGCAGATGGGAGAGATACATAATAATTTACACGTAGAAAATATTAGAGGGGCTGGTCCCAAACCTACACACAGAAATAACACCACATGAAACCAGGAGGCATGGCAGGATGTGCAGAATACCCCCATTTAAAAGCAGAGGTGCAACAGGTACTCTGAGAGAGAGAGAACTCTATCAACATCAGAGGCCTGAGACTGTTCAACACGCTTCCACTACACATAAGGGGCGTAACTGGCCGACCCCTCACAAAGTTCAAGAGAGAACTGGATAAGCACCTCCAAAGGATACCTGATCAACCAGGCTGTGATTCGTACATCAGGCTGCGAGCAGCCGCGTCTAACTGCCTGGTTGACTAGTCCAGCAACGAGGAAGCCTGGTCGATGATCGGGCTGCGGGGTTACTGAGCTCCGAAATCACCTCCAAGGTAACCTCTCCTGCCTGCGCTCAAGAGAATACAGATGTACAGTAGGCATTTTAGTTGGTCCCAATAGTTTAGGTGTTTTACTGAGTGGATTCTAACAGTAAAGGATCTTTGCATACTCTCCAGGCCAGCAATTTCTCCAGCTTTGAAAGGGGCTGTCATTGTGCAACAGTACTCCACTCTAGAGAGCACTAGCATTTTGAAAAATATCATCATTAGTATAGCATTTCTGGTTTGAAAGGTTCTTGTTATCCAATGTCTTTTTTTTTTTCTTGGAGTTGTGACGGCTACTTCATTGTGTTATTTAAAGGTAAGATCTTCCGACATAAGTACACCCAAATCCTTTACAATGCTTTTTCGTTCTATGTTATGATTCACCTGTGTTTTGTACGTGGTGTCTGTTTTTATATTTTTCATTTTTTCCGTAGCGCAGGAGCTGGAACTTATCTTTATTAAGTACCATATTTTCTGTAGCCCATAGAAAGACCTGATTTAAATCTGATTGGAATTGAAATTGAAATTGAAATAAGTTTATTGAGGTAAAATACACACAAAGGGATGAGGTAGCTCAAGCTATTCTCACCCCGTTCAGTACAACGTGTTAGTACATACATAGACACACATCACAAACAATAAACCTGTTACCAAACATTCTGAGAGATAAACATGTACATTTCCTCCTTCACAAGTATTATGGTATCAGACGTACATAAATACTTTTATGACCTAGTTATACGGATAATTCAACAAAATATTACAGTCTTGGTGCAAAATTCTTATATCTCTCAAGAATATCATCAACCTTTCCTTTGTGACACATCCAGGCTATTTGCTCAGGAACAGTC